TTTTTTGCGGGAGAGGATGGACAGAATAGAGAGGGTTGGTTTTGTTTTCAATGAAGTATACGTTACCCCTTTCTCAATTTGTGATTTTAAATTGACCATTTAAGGAGCCCCAAGAACATAATAGCTGTAGCACTGAAAGGCCAGCAATTTAAACCCGCCTGCTGCTCCAGCTCCAGCATTTTTTTTGAGGAAAAAAGATGTAGTCTGCTTGCATAGGGTTTCAGCCCAGGAATTCCTTTGAGTAACTGTACTCTACCATATAAAATGCAAAGCTTACTTCAATTCAGGAGAGTCTGCCCTCATCAGATGATTTTTGATAGTGACCCTCCACCGGCTTGCAAAGCTTAGAAACCTTATGGGAAGAGACTGCTCATCTTTCTCCTGTCATGCTAGGATCCCTTCGAGGTGGATTGACTCACCCGGACACAGGACTGGACTTACTTCAAGCATTAGTTAACACATTAAACCACCTGTACCTGCCTAGTCCCCGAAATGTGTTACAGTCTTGTTTCATAGGAGAGTTAATTCAGTTTTCGATATCTAGATGGACAGGAAATGAGATCCCCCCCCCCTTTTACTCAGAAATATAATGAAGTATGGTAATACTGTTAAGTGTTTGAAACAGTCCTCGTACTTTTAGACTTCTTAGCCTACGGTAGCTGCTCAGGGCTTGGGAAAGCCTTGTAATCAAGTCCATTTTCACCTGTACCAGCCATAACATGTCTCCCTTACCGAGTTCTCTATAGAATGACCTGAAGCATGTGGTTAAAAAGACTGTTACAAGAACCCCTCCAATTCTATGGATAAAAAAAAATATTGTTGTTGCTAGGTGCTGCCAAGTTGACTCTAACTTATAGCAACCCTGTGAACAAGAGATTGAAACCCACGCCATCCTGCGCCATCCTCACCGTCTCTGCCAGGCTCAAGCGTGTCATTACAGCCACTGTATCAGTCCATCTCCTCGGGGATCTTCTGCTGCCCTTTACTTTCCCCACCTTAATATCTTTTTGAAGGACTGACTCCTTTCTAACTACAAGTCCAAAGAATGCGTGACTAATTTGACCATCCTTCCTTTAAGGGGCAGCCTGATTGCATTTCCTGCATGATGAGATTTGTTTGTTCTTTTGGTAGTCTACAGTATAAAGGACTACAAATGTTTTTGTTTTTCTTTCTTGTTCTGTGATTTGAGAGGCGAGGATGATGTCTTAACCATGCCCTTTACATACAGTTTAATAGACCTTTCCCTACTTGATCTTTTCTGTTATTTAATTCTTCAGATACAGAGCTATCGGAGTATGAAATAATAGAGCGGAAGTAAATTCAAAAGACCACAGGTCATAAGTAGAAATCATCTTCCATCATCCTCAGTCATTCTTTGGATCAGAAAGAGTCTGGGATCAGGAAAGAAGCCCTGGTGGCACAGCAGTTAAAGTGTTAGATTGCTAAAAGACAGCAGTTTGAATTCACCAGTTGTTCTGTGGGAGAAGAGAGCTGTTGGTCTGTTCTAGAAAGATTTCAGCCAAGAAAACCATATATGAGATAGTTTTGTTTTGTCTTAGAGACTGCTTTGAATCACAGTCAATTTTACAGCACACAGCAGTGGGACTAGAACACATGATTAGATGGTGTATTTTATTGTTACGTCCAGTCAGTGCTGTGGTTTGATTTCCTACCGCTTCATATTTACTGTGACTTCTGCATTAATTAATTAATAGTTTCAGCTTAGGTGGTTTGCATTTTGGGTCTTGTCAGGTACGCTTCTAAACTTGAAAAGCAGGACGTGTTGCTGCCTTTTAGTTTCAAGAATTTAATGTCCATGCTAAAGAACAATCAATAATTCATGAAATACTGCACAACAGGGTTGCATCTAGAGAAAATAATACCTGAATGGCATAAGTCAGTCACCAAGGACAATTACAGTGTAATACAGCTGTTAAGAGAAAGCTGAGGAAAGGTTTATGTACCAATAGAATCATTCTTAGACGGTTACCATGGGTGGGAAGGAAGAGAGTAATAATACATAGCTATATTGGGCAATATACAGTAAGGAATTGATGAAGCATTGTATTTGATCAGTTGTAATTATTGTTAGAAAATATGTATGAATGATTGAATGAAAAACTAATGTGATTAGTACATCTTCACTCAAAAACTGATTTGATGCTCTATTTTCATAACCGTCTTTATTACCTTTTATATTTATGAAAATATTAGTTCTTAAAAAATTAGGTTTTTTATAAAGGAAATTTTATACTTCGGGATTTTGAAGTAAATGAAATGCTGAATACCAGAAATATTTCATATTTCAGAAATATGGTTATTGTTTGGTTTTTAATAGAATCACTTGCCTGGCTATTTTATTGCTGCAGATACAAAGAAATGGAGGTTTGAGTTTGCTTTAAAATTTAAATAAAATTAGATTTTTAAATAAAATTAGATTTTTAATTGGCATCTCAATTCTTTTTAAAAGTTCTCTCCCTCCAAATTTTTAATTGTGATTTGAGTAAAAGCTTACAAAGTCTGTTGGTTTTCTGTTCAACTGTTTATGAACATTTTATTCTATGATGCTAATCCCAACTCCTGTGTTGTAACAGCACTTCTCCTGCATCTTCCCTGTCCATCTGTCCTCTCCCTTCTGATCTGAGCTGTAAGGTGTTTTTCAGAGGTTGCATTAGTTTAACTTTTTCTGATTTTTTTCCTCCAGAGTGCTGGGTATAAACGAGTGGCAGAATACAGGGTTCCAGTATGATGTCATCAGCTGCTTGAATTTGCTGGACCGCTGTGATCAGCCCCTGACTTTGTTAAAAGATATCAGAAGCGTCTTGGAGCCCACTAGAGGCCGGGTCATCCTTGCCCTCGTTTTGCCCTTTCATCCCTATGTGGAAAACGGTAAGTGTGGCCATCAGGCTGCTAACCTGGTTAAGGTGCGCATTGATAACTGATGATTTCATTCTATGTACTAATACACTGATGTTTCTTTGAATAGCATGGAATGAAAAAGAATTTAATCTGCTCATGTTGAGTACTGGTTCATTTTGGTGTGAAGAACTGAAGTACATACAGTAGAAATAAGGGATTCTCAGCTGAGTCTTCTAAGCAGGTCTGGTACAGTACTGTGTAGTATGTCATACTGCTAGCTGAAAGGTCAGCAAGTCAAGTGTGCCAGCCCCTCCACTCCATGGGAGAGAGATGGGCAGCCTCCTTCTATTTGGGTTTAAAGCCTTGGAAAGAAACCCCGTTGCAGGTCACTGAATAGGACCTGAGTTTGTTTTTTTTTTTTATTAAATTTTATTAATTTTAATGAACATTTACAGGGATTTTGGG